AGAGAAAGAGAGACAGGTTTGTTTACAAAAGGCAGAGATAAAGGACCATGTTAGGTACACATGTGAAAATGACAGCTGACTTCTCTGAGGCACTTGATCTCTGACTTATGACTGATATAGGGTATTGTTATTTTGTTGGTCATTGTGAGCAGTCATTCTGAAAGTATTTTCTCAATAAATCAGGTGGATGCGTGTCAAGTAATCACCTGCTTTCAAAGCTTAACGCTCTGTCGAAGCAGTTAAGTTAGTTTTACTTAAGTATGTATTTTTCCCACCGAATGCTGCCTAGCTCACTCACCACTGGCATTATTTTTTCATCATCTCCCTTATGAATCTGCCACCAGATTAAAAAAGAGTTCTGTGTAATAACGCTCAACGTTTCATTGGTCCCTACCTTGCAAAATGATAGGTTCAGCACCAAAGTAAGTAGCGAATAATCATAGGAGGAGATGGCTCTCTGATTGTGACTGTCAGTGACTGTGTTTACGAGCTGACTCTATTGGTAGACAGGTCATGGCTTCTTGTCCAAGCTGACTGAAAGAAATCAATACGCCGCATATAACCGCTCAGCAGCTGACCCTATACAAACGCGAATTTGGTCACGGCCACAACAATCGCATTTCGCTGGAAGCGTACTTATACAAGCCAGTGTACATATATTTAGTTATCACTAAATAATTCAGATTTTTAAAATTTTCGGAGCACTTTAGCTGGGCTTGCTTTATTATAATATTGCGTTTTAGGTGTGTAAAGCGCGCAAAATAAATATTTACGCACTAGATTAATCACGCCATTGCCAATGTGTAATGGTCATTGCGACATCTGGCGTTTCACTGCGCGATTGCACGAAAAACAAACCTGTGGTTATCCCCCCTAATAAACTCAACTGATGGGGCAACTTCGGTGAGTTGGTATAGTATCATCTTCGGGTACCCATACAGAGCGGCCCAGAAAAGGATGATAAAAGGAAGACGTGAGCGCTATCAACTGAATATTTATTTCTAGCACAAACAAAATGTGTTTATCTCACGTGACGAAGCGAGATAATCAATCAGGATAACTGTGGCACCGGGCCATTCAGAAAAGTTGTATTTCCTTTTTATGAAGTGCTATAGAAGTCTGGTGAACAAAGCGATCGGCCTTCACGTGCATTTGATGGCGTTCAGCTAGCTATGTTGTTCTTTAATATTTATTCTTGTACATCACGACTCTTTCTTTCAACAAGGGCTCACATTTGCATCTGCTACACTGAGCGGTGAAATTCGAAGTCGTAGCTTATTATATGCACGTGAATGTCAATCGTTGTGTCAGCCAAACTGGTATAGCGCTGCATAAAAAGAAATGAAAGTTTTAAATGGCCTGTTCCCACGCATCTTTTGAATATCCGACTTCACCATGTGACTTGAGCACATTTTGTCTATGCACGAAATGAGTTAATAAATTTCAGAAATGGTGCTCACGTCGTCCGTTTTTCGTCTTTTGTGTCGTGCTGCACGTGTACCCAAAACTCATAAACTGTACTGCCAGTTTTAAGACGTGTTTATTGTCATTAGATTGATTGATATGTAGGGTTTAACGTCCGAAACCCACCATATGATTATGAGAGACGCTGTAGTGGAGGGCTCCGGAAATTTCGACCACCTGGGGTTCTTTAACGTGCGTTTATTGTCATTAGAAAACAATAGAATGGATGAATGGTTTTTATTGCACACATACCGGGTGTTCAAAATTAAGCTTTATGATTTTTTTAAAATTAGGCGCTCGAAGGCACGTGAGAACCACTTGTGCAAATAAGTTAAGCGGCCAGGGGGACAGAAAGTTAGATGATAATTATCGCTGTCAGCAGCCCAATTAACTAAAATTTAATAATTAACTTTTTACTGGCTGCGGTAAGTTGGCATGTTTATATTGAAAAAATGTAGGCAGTGGTGTTTGTACACAGTTTCAGTTGGAAGATTTTTTCTAGCACGCCTGTGTTCCGAGATATCCGGCTCCAAAGTTTAATTGTCTTTCGCACGATTACGCATGCAAGAGGGTGAGGGTCCGCGCAAAGCTCCTCCCTAAAGTGACGCATCTGTTGCGTGTGGTGTTTAGTGTGTGAAGAGGGTGGAAGCGTAGGCATAGGTGATAGCAATTACCCTTGCCCTCTTCGGCCGTCGAAATCAAAAATCGAAGAACGCTTGCAACCAGTGTCGTAACACGCAACTGCAGAGCCTCTAACGATAGTGGCAGATACCATGCCGAGATAATGGTGCGAGCGGAGAATCTGGATGCCAGTGCGCGTGCGTAATAATCACTAGAGAAGCATGCGTGGTCGTTGCCTGGGCTACGCGAATAGCGTGACTGCTGATGTCCGAGTACTGTAACTTTTATTGAAACAAGAGCAACAACTCCACCAATAATAACTGAAACAGTTTTATCCTTGCTAACGCATATTTCCTGCTGCTACATAAGCATATTTCGGTCATGCACAAATCTCATCGAAACTCTTCACCTCTCAAGACGTCAATGCCCCAAAAAGTGTTCAAAATGCCTGCCTTCGGCAGCAACGCAAAGCATGAACCGCTGTCGCGTCGACTCGATGACTCGGCGCAGTACTTCTGCAGGAATACTCGCACAGGCAGATGTTATCCTGTCCTTCATGTCATTAACATCGCTGGGCTCTGTTACGTAAACTCGATCTTTAACGTAGCCCCAAAGGAAAAAGTCGAGCGGAGAAAGGTCAGGTGATCTTGGTGGCCAAAACATCGCTCCTGCGCGCCCAATCCACTGTTGTGGAAAACGTCTGTCCAACCAGTTCTTCGCCCTGGTAGAAAAATGTGGTGGTGCTCCATCGTGCTGAAACCATACTTGGCGCAGGTCATTCAGGGAAAGACTGCAGACAAGATCATCAATGACAACACCTAATATTTCTTCTGTGTACATCTTTCCGTTCAAGTTGTCCTCAAAAAAGTGAGGTCCGATGATCCTGTCCCCGAGTATGCCGCACCACACATTCACACTCCAGCGAACTTGATGCTTGTGCTGCCTCAGCCAGTGTGGGTTTTCTTGTGCCCAATAATGGGCGTTGTGAAGATTAACACTTCCATTTCGGCAAAACCGAGCTTCATCAGTCCAAATTATTCTGTGCAAAAAGTCATTTTCTTGATCAGTTTTGATGAGGCCCCAATTGCAGAAGTCAACTCGCCTTTCAAAGTCCGCCTCATTTAGGTCCTGATGAAGGTAAACGTGATATGGATGGAACTTGTGCTTTCTTAAAACATTTGTGACTGTTCCGATGCTGCGACCGCACTGATCGGCAATCTGTCGGATGCTGAGCTCTGGCATCGAGGTTACGCACGCGACAACGTCGATTTCAAAGTCTTCATCGACGATTGCCTTCCTGGTCCGTCTCGGAAGGTGGACAGAGCCTGTTGTGCAGAAGCGTCGAAACAGGTTTGTGAAAGTGGGCCTTGTTGGAAGGGGACGGTGTGGGTGGCGAGACGCGTAAAGCTCCATTGCTAACGAAGCGTTGCCATTCATTTCAGCCATTGCAAGCACCACGTCTACTTTTACTTTGGTAGAATACCTCACGCCAGAAGCAGCCATATTAGCTCGAAAGGACTCCACGTGGATTTCCTTGGTAGACCTTCAATGCAGAGACGCTGTGCTCTAACCGGAGGCACCCTAGTGCAGGACGGTCCTGCTAACGCGTTCACAAGAAGATGTCTCAGTGTGATCTAAAGTCACGAAAAAACGTCGCGAAAAATGGTCTCCTGTTATCGCGTTCATCAGGATCATGCGTAAGGCTCATGGCGCACCGCGCTGTCACATTTTGATTTCGCCGGCCGAAGAGGGCAAGGGTAATTGCTATCACCTATGCCTACGCTTCCACCCTCTTCACACACTAAACACCACACGCAACAGATGCGTCACTTTAGGGAGGAGCTTTGCGCGGACCCTCACCCTCTTGCATGCGTAATCGTGCGAAAGACAATTAAACTTTGGAGCCGGATATCTCGGAACACAGGCGTGCTAGAAAAAATCTTCCAACTGAAACTGTGTACAAACACCACTGCCTACATTTTTTCAATATAAACATGCCAACTTACCGCAGCCAGTAAAAAGTTAATTATTAAATTTTAGTTAATTGGGCTGCTGACAGCGATAATTATCATCTAACTTTCTGTCCCCCTGGCCGCTTAACTTATTTGCACAAGTGGTTCTCACGTGCCTTCGAGCGCCTAATTTTAAAAAAATCATAAAGCTTAATTTTGAACACCCGGTATTTTACACAAAATATGTACAAACTGTATTGCCCCATAACAATAGAATATGCGAGCCCTATTAGAAATAGATATCACATAAACTGAAATTGTACTAATAATAATGAATAATATATGACCAATCAATCTAAAGTAAAATTATCAAGAGCTAATTCTGTTTCATTACAAACTACTAAACTGAAGCAAGCATTCTTCATGCACAGCGCTATGCACTGTTCATTACTTCTAACGCACAAATTAAACTTCTCGAAAATATTGCACACTTCTCACGCAGCATGACATTGAGCAAGACGATTATTATGAAAACTGCGGGGACGTTCAAATCAAGCACCAAGCGTATACCACTTCTCTCAGGGCTCCACTATCGCAGTGACTTGCTAAATGGCCGCTCAAAGAACAAGCATCCTTGGACTTGAGACGAGAGTGTTTAAAGAAAGCGCAGAGAAAAATATCAGCGCTTCCTGAAGACACCACCAAGATGCCACTTGTGGGTTGTAGCGCGCGGTGCTATGATGCCACGTATTGCAACTGAAGCACGTGGCGAGCTTATCGTTGTTTACTCTCCGAGAAAAGCATACGAGTTCCGAAAGCTGCGCGCAATCCGAAGTGGGTCAGCGGGAACCGTGGTTGCTGGGAGCACGTTCGTGCTTTATCTTTGTTCATTATAGTGATACGTGGCCTCTAAACGTCCCAGACATCCAGACCAGCGTGACAGACAGTTGGTCCATGAATATTCACCAAGCCGCGCCGCTTCGTCGAGTCGTAATGCAGGCGACACCCGACAATCTGTCGGTCATCCACCACCGTTGACGCAAAAGAGCGCTCCAGTGAACAAGCTTGCTCAAACATTTGCGGCACCAAAGGCTGAGTTAAAAAAAAGAAAAGCGAGAGGTTGCTCTAGCAACGGAAACTTCCGACGGGCCTTTCTATCTAAGTGCATCCCCGTCGATAAGGCCGAACAATGGCCGTTCACAAGACGCAACGCCAGCAGGTATAAATGTGGTGCTAGCCTATGGGAAGCAGCGATACATTTAGTTGCGTCTCCTGCCGCAGTGCATCACTGAAGCCGTACAAAGTAAGTACCTAATGTATACAAGATATATCGCTTAGTTTCATTCATGAATGGCCTATCATATGCTCTCTTGCGCTGTTCTATAGACCTGTGAGGAGACCGGGTGAAGGGTGTTTTCATTTTAGGTAGCCATATGGTCACTAGAATATTTCACTTTGTTGTAATAAATTTAGCAGTGGTGGAGATGCAACTTCATACTGATTGGGAATGATGACGACTGTTATTCGTTGGACGTGAATGAACGCCTCGCAACACGTATCGGTAATCACTCCGCCAAAGTTCCATTTTGAATCAAAATGCGGTTCGTTATACCAAGTTGCAATTAACTGCAGGTTATTGAACCTGCATCAGTTCAGACGTTTTCACATTGAAAATATATTTTGATGCAATGTACAAACTTTATGAGAAGACAAATCGCCTATATTTGGTGTCCCCATAAAAAAAAGATATGCCCTTGACGTTCAGCGGTGAACTTTTGCAGCCATTTTATTCATAACCAAGAAGTGCGCTCATTCACAACTCTTAGCTCTCCTGTACGTCTGCTGCTGTGATGAGATTGTGCAACCACTGCAACTGGTGCAGGCATTTATAAATAACTCATAGGAGGTGAAAATCGGGTAAAATTGAGCCCTTTCATCTATAAATAATGATTGAAGTTTTACGTGCCAGAACCACGACATCACTACGAGGAATTCCGCAGTTAAAAACTCCACAAGATATGACCCACCGTGGATCTCTATCGCACCGCTTTATCTCAGAAAACTGAGCTCTACCGTTTCGCCTATATCGCTTTGCTACCGCCGTGAAGAGATTCAAGATAATGTTTTTCGATTAGAGTTTTCATTGAATCGACTGCGTCAGAACAGTGAACAAAAGGGTGTAAATTCGCGAGTGGCATAGCACTCCTTTGCACTTTATTAACATAGGGTCGTAATGTATGAAACGCACGATGCCACACAGGTTTCATTGATTGCGCATCATGCAAGGGTCACTAGATAAAAACATCGTTTCTAAAAGCATAACTCTATTCCGACACCTGAAATAAAAACCCGAATGAGAACTTTTATGCGTCGTGTAAAAATCTGTTTCGATTTTCATTATAAGCATAACTAGGCTACTGATGAAACGTAATCTTCAGGGAGTGATTCGAGAAGCCAAGCCTTGCAAAGCTTGATTCGTACAAAATGGTGTTTTCGTTTTGTTTTCTACAGTGTGCATGTTGATAGCGGGCAGACTGCGCAAAAATACTCTCTGCCTTTGTTTTTCGCCAAAGTAGGCGTATGTCCGGCGTTCGCGCCTCGTCGAAGCACGTGTTATTGATTTGCTATTACTTGCAATAAAAGAAGACACAGTTTAGGGTGTATCGTTCGCAACAAAGTCCTACAATTATCTACTAGAGAAGCAGTTAGTGTCCGAAAACGCACTTACCAATTCACAAACTAGTATCATCGGTTTATTAAGTCCGAAAGTTCACTGTAGTATGCTGGGCGTTCCCTTCTTATGAATGTCCGATTGCAGAAAATGATAAAACAACATCACCTGATTGGAGTTGACGTATATGAGCAGGTATTCCAAAAAGCAGATGTGGGGATCGTCCGTATGAATGACATTTGTGCGAACATGTGCGAACAAATGGTATTAGAGGTAGGGCAAATCACGCTTGAGCTAGACAGCCTGGAAACAGTGTGACTGTGGCTATTTCGTCTCTTTTTCGCGTCAATTGAAATAACAAGCAAAATGAAGATGCGATACATAAAATGCTCATTTGACAGAAAAAAGTGCTTGGACGAAGTATATTCAGTATTATTCATTACCATTATGACCTTAAGTAATGAGTGAGATGAAAACTATTGTGCAGGTGAAGAAAAAAAAAACATTCGACTGGAGATAAGCTTGAATATTTATTGCAAAGTGGTGGATCATAAACATGACAACCTGCTTTTCGCACCTCACTTCACATCGTGAAGAATGGTCAATAGCAGAGACCAAAAATATTTGTAGAACGAAGGCATTTCATTGTCACTATTAATTGGAAAGATTAGAGAGGTGGCCTCTAATGCAGGCCATCCGGTGCGTTGGCGGGCCGTGCTGCTCAGCTAAGGACTTGATAATCATCTCTGGGTGACCCAGCAGACTAGGAAAGCTGCTGAGAGACTTGTTCTCTCAGGCGACTCTTACGTAAGAACCAAGCCCGGTAACCTACAGGGAGGGAATACAGTTAAACCCTATCTCATCGACTCCTTCATTGTCTTCAACCATTAGCGATAAATAATAACTGCCACAACGAAATTAATGAATGTCGAACAGCTGAAGTGTTGTCTCGTGTTCTTGATGGATGCACATTGACAAGTGCGGTTGTACTTTCAGTTATTGTCACTTTGTTCACTAGTTTGTTTCTGCTTCCTCTTTTTTGTTTTGTGGTTGCAAATACTAATTATGCTCAGATGTGATCAGCCACAATGTAAAGGAAGTTTTATTGCTTATTTGATTGCATAAACTAGATCGTGGTATCTTGAATAAAAAATTATATGTAGGACAGCTATTTTGCTGCATTGGTATGATATGCTCAAAGAATAAATCAGAAGCGATAGATAAACAAAATTCATGAATGATCGAAATGAGACATAAACGAAGAGTGTGTTTCTGTGCGATAGAAAAAGCACCGTCACAGTGACTGCAAGTGACTTTTTATTTTTGGGGGTAGTCACCATGGCGGAAGACTCCTTATCTCTTCGTTATCGCCGTTCTAAGAAGAACGCTATCGTTTTTATCGACTTGCCACACAGACATTGTCCAAAAATATCTATGAGTGAGAGCGAGTTGAACACTGTCATCCTGTCGGAGCATGAGGTGACACCAAGCTTCTTAGAACTATGTCTATAGAACTTGACAATAGGGCACAGGCAGCTTGATAAACGAGAGTAATGTCGGGAAAGCAATCGCATTATTGCGACTTATAAAGCGTTTAACAACACCGAAAGAACAACCAGTCATCGCACAATGAGAATAGAGTAACGAGTGGGCCGTTCAATGCTTCAACTCATTACAAAAGCTTGTTCTTGTTTCCCCATTAACTGTGGTGCATACCCACTTCAGCCATAATTGCTCATCATCGTCAGCCACTGCATGAACAATTGGCACAAAATTTCTTGCAAGTGTTTAGCAGATACCACGCTTCTGATCAAAATGACGAAAATTAGCATTTGAATGCCAGCTTACTACCCAAAAGCTTTTTTTATTAATGCCCTAGTGGGTACCAAGCAAGTGCGCTTGCGGTAGTTACCCAGTGAGTGTTTTGAAAAGGCTCTGGAAGGCCGCTGTTCTAGCTTCTGCTACGACTGTGATGCGCCTACCGCGCAGGCCTGGCGTTTTTTTTTTTTCAATTGACAATCACACAAGTATGAACACTCAAACTTGAGCAGTATTCATGGGCGCTGCGGATGATGTTGGCCGTTTGGGGAATCGTTTGGGGTGTCGTTATAGACGGACAAACAGACAAATGTAAAGACATACAGGCAGACATACTAAAATTTTCGCGTTGAAGTACCCCAAAAAAGACTATCGTCTTTAATAACATTGGCCTCGAGGGTGCGATGAAATGCACGCGCCTAAGCTCACGCACACCGTTTTGAAATGGAGTTGTGCAAAATTGTGGCGTGTTACGCCACCTCATACTGCGTGCTGCTGAGGCCGCGGTATCCCAAGATATCCTCGTCAACCTCCTCTGAAATAATACAACCAGGCATCGTACTGACCCCCTCTATTTTACAGCAGAAGCAGTTATGAGATCAAAACTAGGGTCACGCGCGGCGCCGTAGTTGTCCGCCGCCGCCACCGGTGTCCGTAACCACATCGCACGAAATTAGAAAACAAGCTAGTACCAATGACACAACGGGGCTCTAACCATGGTCTGCTAGGTGCTAGCCCAGTATTCTACTACTGAGCCATGCCAGTGATTGAGACTTGTTGTGAAACTTGCCTCAGGCAGGCTTGATATTGGGAAAGCAATCACGTTAATACGGCTTGTAAAGCGTTTTAAAACAGCGAAAGAACAACCCGTTGGCGCGCAATGCGAATAGTGTAACGGCTGAGTCGTCCAATGTTGCAACCTATTACAAAAAATTGTTCTTGTTCAGCTCTAAACTGTGGCACGTACCCACTTCAGGCATAATTTTTATTCGTCGTCAACCGCTGCATGAACAATCGGCACGAAATTCCTTTCAAGTGTTTAGCGGATACCAAGCTTCTCAGAAGAATGACAAAAATAGCATAGCGAATGCCGGCCTAAACTACCCAAACGTTTATTATTACTACGCAAACGTTTATTATTAATGCCCTAGAGGGTATCAAGGAAGTGTGCTTGCATCCTTGCGGTAGTTACCCAATGAGTGTTTTGAAAAAGCTATCAAAGGCAGCTTTTTTAGCTTTCGCTGTGACTCTGCTGCGCCTTCCGCGCAGACCTGGCGTTTTACTGTTCTGGGATAAGTAGAGATTCAACCAGCAGCCCCACGCGCAGTTGAGTTTACATACACAGGTAACGAAAGTATGCCACATGTTCACCTGTACGTGCAGTGCATGCGTGTGCAAATATGCCACGTATTCCCTTTACTAATATATTAAATAAATGCCGAAACGAGCTACCAAACTGCTCGATAATAATTCGTTCTTTAGCCCAGATGGAGGAACATAATGAAATCTTATTCTGATAAAAAAATTATTCTTGCTTTACGCAAAGCCCTCACAAAATTCTTTAACAAAATTTGTGGTCTTTTTTTTTTCAGAAGAAATGAAGCTGACGGGGTCTGTCGTCTTTCTGGGTGTTGTTGTCGGAGCCTGTAAGTCTTTGCTTTCAGAGTAATCGCTCAATGCAGATGGCATTGATGCAATGCTGCATTGTAGGGATTGAGTGCTAATGAGTTACATTTTTCTTTGCTTGACAGATGGAGCAGTTTGGAACTCGTATGTATATATATCTTATTCTACGAATTGGCGTACCTTCAATGATATTTTGAAGCTCTGTGCATGTTTACCCAGTAATTTCTTAGATATGTAAGGCAACAGGCAGTAAGAGATTTCAGGAGTATCATATGGTGTGTCATATGGGAATTCCCATGTACCTCGATATATTCTAAAATATGCGGCGTGAAAATTGCTTTTATGGAACACATATTATAGCGATATTCACGGTACATTGAAGCAAACCTATACACCGGCCACTAGCCTTTTGCAACCCCCAAGCCACATCTGAAATACTACCTAATGTCCTTCCAGAGGGACAACCTTAAGATGTTTTTGAATTACTTTCGAATAAATCCAGCATATGTCGTGAAAACTTTATTTTGAGAGAGAAAAAATTCTTTGGTTAATCAGACCTCATGATAGATAAATCGTTACTGTTTATCCAGCCGAAAATGAATGCGTCCTTGTGTAAAACTTATATATCCATGCATTTATTGAGTACATAGAGCTGCTAACTTGAAACTGCACCCAACTACATGCTTGAAGAACTAGAACTTGTTCTTAGAAATGCTATATGCTCTCATAAAACGTACAAATACCATTAGCATTAGACGATACCGATTATGTGCTGTTGCCCATTACAGCCACTCTAAAAGCTGGTACTATGGAGTAGTAATTCGCTGTTTAGGTTTAATGAACAGCTAATTCCTAATGAAATACTCAATAACTAAAACTAAATTTAAGATACATAGAGTGATGATGATCAGGTGTCGTGTCTGTTGTTAAGGGTTGCGAATCATCCCCAAACCTTCGATGAATCATAACTCTACAGTATTGCCATATGTAGTTTATGTGTTTCGTCTCGGTCTCTTTTTTAATCACTTGCTGAGTTATCTTCTCTGCTTTGCAATAGCACTGCTTGTATGTAGAAAACGTACACAACGTGCTAATATGGAAGTGAAAACGAAACTCTTCTTTAAGCGGTATTTCCGTTTGTCAACATTTGCGCGTCTCCTGTCACAAAGCGGATCTTTTCATATTGTTCAGTCACATAATTTCAATAACAACGCTTTTCTTCTATAAAAATGAGCCAACGGGAACAGATTATAGTCGGAAGCATGGACCCTAAAACGTCGATAAATGTACGCGCTATGACGATGTTTGAGCAGCTTATTTATCAAATCTAACACTTACGTGATACACCATGTCAAGCAGGAAGAAAACTACTGGAAGTAGCAGCTGCGTGCGTAGGCACAAGTGTTATGATATACTGTTTAAAAGTTGTATTTTTTTCATTGTTCCAGCAGACATCAACAAAACCAAGATGAAGGTAAGTGCCGTTTGACGTCCCCAATTATTCGCTGTGATTACACTACTGCCTTCCTTGAAAACATACGCAAATGTAGTGTGCAAGGAATGTAGCCTAAATTACCCTAATTTTCTCAATTTTCACTAAAGTTTGAAACAACTTGACATGCAGGTATGCAAATTTTCTGCTCTGTTCACTAACAGTGAGCTCTACTTTGTGGATGTACATAATGTATGCATCACTGTTTACATGGACAAGTATACATGGAACATTTGTTAGGTTTAAATGTTAGGTCTAATCATTTAAGAAGTAATGTTGATGAGACGGTGCATAATTCTTGAATGAGTCTTGCCTATACTATTCTTACGCTGAAATAAGGAGCTCGGAAGTGCGTCAGTGAGCTGGCGAATTTCGCACAAAAAAGATTCTACGCGCAAGGTAAGAAGACTCGCACATCTAAGCTAGTACGTCTACAGTGTTTTGAAATACCTGCTACTTCGATGTCATCCTAAATTACTCTGAAGTACTGTCTAGTAACTCTAATTTGCAATAGCTCATTAGTGGCCTTCTTTTTTTTTCTAAAAGGGCCAAGTCCGCTTCAGGTGAAACCGAGAAAAACGTCGTTCTTTGCTGCTGACTAAGTGATCTGACCTGATCAAAGGATGTTTTCCCAGCGTTCTCAAATCACCGAAATACGATAAATCTATGTTTTTACTAAAAAAATCGCGCACATCTCCCCGTAAAGAGACTCCTCAGTATTTCGTGAAACTGCCATGGGTCGACCTAAACTTCTAAAGGGGTGCTCTTAATTCATCACCGCAGACATTCATGGTTCCGCGCAAAACTGCTTTGCGAACCGCCGTCTCCGCCACACGCACGCTCACGTCTTCACTCATACCACAACACTCTGTGGGTTTGAGAGAGAGAGATAAGAGAAAGCGCTTTTCTTAAATGGTAAAGTCCCTAGAAACTATTCAAGTAGCCCCATTTGTGCCGGCGTGCAGCCTCCTCTTCTCGCCCGTGCTTGATAGCCATCTTAGCACATGCGCCACCTTTCCTATCCTCGGTCGCCTGTTTTCTTTTGCTTGTACGACGACACCGACGAGGAGGAGGTTTGCACCGGATTACCCTCCCCTGTAGCCGGGAAAGGATATGCCTGTGTCCGTGGTTCTTTTCTGGACGGTGTAGGGCCACCGCGGCAGCTGCTAAGAAGGAGGCGCCGGCGAACGGGCGTGGTTGGCACTACTTCTGTTCTTCTATAGAAACTAATATGTAGAGAACCGCAGCGCCGCTCTGGGTCTCCTCTCGTACCAGAACACGCACGCGAGTGAAGCGAGCGCTCTACCACAGAGTCACCCATTGGCTGCTCCGAGTACTAACGTGACTACTACGATGGACAAGAGACAAGCCCCGACCATAAACTGTGTCGTATCTAATATCGATTAGCTCCGTATTGTTGGCATTAAAGGGTAAGATCTGTATTTAGCACTCATAGCTTGGAACATTTCATTTTCTTTGAATTAGCTCGTTATAAAATTTAGAACGTCGGGAATGTACGATATAAGAATATTTCGCGAAAACAATTATCACCTTACTTGTGTTTACATCACTGTCGTGTTTTGTTCCATGTACCTAATATTCATGACCATACATGTACAATCAGTGGTCCTCCCCTGGAGAATGCGCTCCTTTGAGAAACATATGCATTTATGTAAGACCTTCAGATATGCTTCAGCTCTTTTTCTTCAAGCTAATTTGACGCCGCAATAATTTGGACCACTTATTTTTCATCAACGAATAGATATCCACCCAAGACCTTCGTTTTAGTTTTGCTGCACTTCAAATAAACTGTTCAGAAGTGAAAAGACTTGACACTATGGCACAAAACTGTAAAGTAAAAATTAAGAGACAAAAATAAGTAGGAAAGTGGGCCTCTCACTTTCTTCACGCCCAATAAAAACTAATTTTGAAACGAAAACACGAGAGCAAAGTATCTCATACACAAGTTGAACACATTGTATATGCGGCCATCTTGGTTGTTTAGGCGTTGCGTCGCGATATCTGGTACAGCGCATGGTCCAAGCAGATGTATAATTTGGGTGGGTTTTGATTGGGAAGGGCTTTTCTTGAGTCTCCGCTAGGAGTGAAACGAAAAATACGGCCAGTTTGAGAACAGTTGCTTTAAACGCGAAATATGCTCTAGTGTGCATGAAATTTCGCCCAGTTTCAGTGTCTCGATTTGGCTTCCATAAAAAAAGAAAGGAAAAATGCTACATAATATGAACGTACGTTGCCAGGGGGGGGGGGGGGGAGGAGACTCAATGCACTTCATGCATATATGTACGCGCAGATGTACAAATAAATGCAGGAACATAAAGTATGTTTGAACCCCCCCCCCTTACCTCTGCCCTGAAAACAAATTTGTGGCTAAGTTTCTGCGACATACGCCTAATAATTACTCCCAATTGCTTTCTAATTACTTTCACTAGCTTCTAACTTCAGTTTGAATTGCTCTGGTGGGCGTTCGTGACTTCTATCGAGACGAGGCCATAAGACATGTCGGTTCCTTTTTGGGTTTGTTTTTTTAACCACCCCTGTTGACCCTGACAGCCACTTCTAGTGTTCAAAAGATGTCTAACTCCCGTATTCAGAAACTGACTCGACTTGTCACCGCTTTCAATCAAGCACAAACGCGTTTTAAACACTTTGTTTTTACGCAGTGCCAATTCAGCACTAGCGTGCTTCAAACACACTGTCTTGAGACGACGGCAAGTCAATTTCAACCAGCATTTCGAAATGCGGATGAGGCTGTCGTATGTAGAATCGCTCACGAAGTCATAAATAACGCAAATAGAGTTAATTTGCTCCCCTATATAACCATTCTCGTATTTCGAATTAGTACCCTCGGAAAGAATGGGAGCACCAGCTTGATTACAATTGTGGGAAAAGAAAGGTATTTTTCATCCCTGTTTCTAAATCTTGCAAAAGTTACTTGAATTTCTTCTAAAGAACTTTTTTGAATGAAATTTCAATAATTTGTATGCCCTAGATGGGTAATTACTGCCTTAAATTGTGTTGTGGTTTGCGCTGCTATTACACAGCACCTGCTCGCTTTTTTAGGCTTGCTGTGGTAACAGCACCGTGTTGGGCATGTTCGTTATGTAATTAGCACGCGGTTCACACACAAAAAACACAACCTAGGACTAATGCCCATTAATGTATCCCCCACACACAAACATACAAGAAAATGCAGTGAAGCTTTTTTTTTTCTTCCCAGTTGGGAACGTCCTTGCATCCTCCCTCCTATGTTCAATACTCTAGCTCATCTCACAATCTTGATGCAGCACTGTTGAGACCATAGGGGTGTTTAGCCAATAAAAAAAGCGAAAACCCGTCACTCTCTATCCAGTCGCACCTCGTCGTCTCCTCGTCATCCCTAATAGTCAGTGCTCACGTGTTGGGCGAGTAAAATGAGCTTGCAGAAAGCAACGCTCTTTACGTTGCAAACTGATGAAAACGCCTGAAATTGTTTATGGTGCTACCAGTCAAAACTGGCTTCTTCCACTACTAATTTCAAAGTCGTCGTGATAATGACATTGTGTTCTAAACCGACGCTCGTGTCTTGTAGCATAACCTACACTGGCCGAGGTAGAGCCTTTCCCGCACGCCATACGGCAAGCCGTTCTGCGTAAGTGCTTGGAGCAATGACGTTTCACGGCACACACCTGGCGCGCCGGCGAAGGCCTGAAAGCTCCTGGAGTCACGTGTGACTAGTGGGCTGGAGCTTGACTCGCTTTAGGTTGCTCGCTTGCTCCGTCCATCCTCCCGTGGTTCGTCCATCCGTTCGTTCATCCATTCATCTGTGATTCGTCCATCCATCCGTAGTTGAAGCTACGTATATTTTGGCTTAGCCGACCTCAGTAGCGGATAATATTTTTAGATCTTAACCAACGCTTTTATTTTTTTTTGCAGTCATGAGCTTCGAATGCAATGTACTTGTCTTTATTTGGCACTATTTCCAAAATTCATTCTGAATTTCTGGGATACATTCCATAGCAGACTTGACTGAACAAAAAGTTAGGCCATTAATAAGACCTGGCTATAAAAACTACTTCTTCATGGGCGTGAAATCACGCAAACCTATGAGGAATTTTACCGTTTATCTATTTCTCTCAGGAGAGTGAGCAAATAGGGAGCTCACGTTCAAATTGAAGCGGGAGGTTCCGTCTGTGTGGACGCTCGTCCCCACAGTTAGTGGTATTTACTGGTACAATAATAAAGCATATAACGTACATGTCATTCGTGATACGCACACCAGGTCTCGCGGTCATGTCTTGCTGACAAACCGCAGCTTCAGCCCTTCTAGAACGTTTGGGATTTGAAATACATATTTTACGCAACTGCATACACAATGACAGGCTCTGTTCAAAATTTCAGTAGTGACTTGGAAACGTGGCAGTTTGGGCTAGTTGGTATGACATGACGATCGTTATAGCGGGAGAGCAGAACGACGTAGAAGGTACAAGAGAAGACGAGACCTAACTTTGGAAGTTAGTGCTCGTCTTATCTTGTCCCCTCGTCGTCGTTCTGCTCTCGCGCTGTAACAATTTTTTAGTGGTAAACCACACCTTACTGAGATAACGTGAAATATGTGTTTTATCGAATACGAAACAATGCAGTATACCATAACAGCGCTGTATGTTGATGCAGCTCCGTCTCCCCATCCCCTTAAAATAGTTTTGCATTGCCCTGGTTATGCTATGTCGTTGAGGGAGTTACGCTGATGAACTTCCGTGTACAGCCATCTATCACTAAAGCTAAATCAGTGAAAGAAGGATTTCAAGGGTTTGTTGTGCTCTAGTACGAAGTGAGACTCGGCGGTTTTTTTATGTGTAATGTTACCAGCCACAGCACTGCTTTTTGTCACAATAAAAACACCGGCAGGTTGTTTATTCATGACTGAGATAGATATCTATAAAATATAAAGAGCGGAATCAAAGAAAAGAAAAAAAATCAAAAGTGGCAATGTTGCAAATATATTGGAATAAGAGCACCCTGTGAAGCTTCGCTGCCTTTGTTTTATGCCTTGCATGAATTAGAATCTTCGTTATGAATATTGTGGCAGAGGGATTTAAGCTACAAGTCTCTAGTACAAAAATCCCGACGCTCGAGTTGCTAGGCCTCTGTCACTTGACTCTACACGCGCAACAGAACATCATTAAAAGGCCCTGCAGCATTTTTTTAAGTAACACATGTATTGGCTGTTTTGAAAGAGCTTATTTCCTCACCAATCTAATGCCACAAAAAGCTTTATCAATAGTCAAGGAAGAGCGTGGTTGCAGGAACTTATCGCACGCTTACATTGCTTTTTCTGTCCTTCGCACTAGTGAGTGCGCTGAAAGAGACACAGGGAGGGGTATGACTAGAGGGCAAAAAGACACGTCTCTTCATCCACACTTGTCAAAACACTCATCACTTTCTATTTCTTCGTCAAACGCGTGGATAACATTCAGAGTGATCATGTGTCTGGGCAATTAGCGGCATCCTATGACTGCCATGGTAACTATGTAGCTCACAATGCTCTATTCAGCCACTGGCCATGGCTCTCTGGTTTATGGCGTGGTCGTTTGGGTTTGAGGCATCGTTTGTCCAAAAATGAGGTAATAATTTTGTAGTTCACTTTCAAAATTCATTTTAAATTTAAGGCAGACTACTGGGCTATGATATCTGGCTCACGTTGTCTCAGGACACTGGACTGCTAATGGGCATCGTTTTCTGACCGTGCCTTAAATGTATCGCAGAACCCTGTTAACAACGCACGACGTGCAAGCTAGCACGTTAAGGTGCTTGTCGCAGCTGGCCGGGACTTACCAAGTTGATGTTATATTCCACATTCTCTGTCCGTAATCACGGTGTTGATTTCAACCACTTGGTCCCATTCAGAAGTGACAGAGCCAACCATCGTCATGAACACGCATGACAATAACAATCATCATTATGTCATAGTGTCACTGTAAGACGTCATTGTGACGTCACATGTGGCCTAATATTTGTGCCCTGACTATGTCATCAAACAAAGTGGCGCTGCATGTTGGCTGCACAACATGAAAAGGCGCTTCGTGAATGAGGAGCAGATCCTGGAGGCACTAGAAAACCACAGATGATTAAAAAAGCTTTCAGAGGGGGGTAGCGGATTCAGGTAGGTGAGATAAGTACAATATAAAGAGAACAGAACGGTGAAGATGGCTGCCTTTTTGAGTAGGTATAGTAAAATGCACAAGTTAACGGCAATTTTGTTATAACACATTAATTTTTTTTGTTTCTAAACGAGAGGCATCAACCGTGATTCACCACTGCACTTCACCATTTGATGTTTCCGCAGACTGGGCAAAAATACATTACCGCATATGGGGGGAGAACCCTTGGGACTATCCCGGTAACCCGCCACCTATCTTTCCTCCGGAAGACTTCTGGCGCTACTCCCAGATTGGTCGTTGGTGGAACCAGGAAAGGCCATGGGAAAACCCTGCAAGGCCTTGGCGGTACGTATGCGTTTAGATAAGCGACATTTTCTTTTAATATAAGCATAACTGCCGCAAGACGAGTGGAAGGCAAACACCGCAAAGACGCTGCACTGCCATAGGTGTGACAGTGCCGCTAGTACAGCCAGAGGTGCGTTTTGGGGGTTTATACCAGCACTAAAATTTTGCCGTTTTCGACGTGTTTATACAGCTATACCTATGCAGGGTTAAAAAACACGCGGATTTATTCTGCAACAAAGTATTTGAATGAATGTTGCTGACTGTTGCTTTGAATACGTTGCGTTAGTTTTTTTTTTGTCATTGCCTTATTATACATGAGTGCTTAACTAACTTTAAAAGTAACAAAGCTGGGCAAAATTCCTAATGAGAACACACACTACAGTATCTCGAGAAAAAGAAATAAATACCACGTGACATGCATGTTCGCTTTCGTATGTGTGACGTCATTGCAGTGCTCTCTAGCAATCCGTGTACAAAGATATGATTCCATCACTGTGGTGCATGACAACGGTGAGTAGAGGGGTTACTTGTCTTGCCACCAGAAAAAGCGAGTCTCGTCGCACAGCCACCATCATGGTCGCTGTCTTGTCTCAGGAGCACACCTGGCCAAATGCTATAATTTTTTTCTCGCAAAACGTTAGGGCGCACTGCAATACGGCGAGCAAATAGGCCGGACATGGGGTATATTCGGTGCGTTTCGCAGGCATCTGCTGTAAGTAAAAACACTCTTGCTTAATATATGTGAGGTTAGAAACTCTTTCGCGGACGTTCTGCAAACCAGTCCTTAACTTCTTTACGAGGATCTCATGACCAGCTTAATCCCGCTAAAAGGTATTAATTTAGTGCCTGGTTATGAAATTAAAACATAAAAAGTGGTGTTACGCACACAAGTGAAATGTCGATATTAGGGTTCATAATCATAAATAGCGCTAGAATAATTTTAAATGCTGGCTGGATATAGCTGGGAAAACCTGTATGTGCGACTCTTATATCTGATCATCTTCAGCATTACTATCAGCCGTACCGAAATTGACGTATACACTCGAGTCTATGCATACTTATCACCAAGCAGCACCGCTCATCAGTGGAGTGAAAATGGTGAGGGTAGTGGAGACGCTTCCGATTACTCCGCGATCTCTTCCTGAGAAGTTCTTGATCATTTTATTTTATGTTGTCATCTCTTTCAAAACAACCTAACTCGTTTGCCACCACTTACAATTGGTATTTCAAGGTACTATATTAAAATGCACCAAGAACAGTCCTGACTGCATGACATATTTGTTTTAAAAAGCATTAACACTATAGTCAAGAAGCTGATTCTCGGCTAACGAACTCTTGACTCGATTCACTCGAACTGAGATTATGCATGAGTCTAAGTAAGTACGGATGAATAACATTTTGTAAGCTTGAGTTGAGTGAGTCTACAGTGCGAAAGAGGTTTTAATAGTGAGCCTGAGTGAGCTCCACAAAATGATGTCGACCTATGATACGCGTGCACACAAAAACAAACCAACGAACCCCAGTCCCTAAAGTAATAGCTTCTGGTAACGCCTCTAATGCGCATCAAGCATGTTTTTTTTTTATTAACACAGCCTTTTGAGTCTACATGGTGATGTGAAGCTCCACGATTCTGGGCTTATGTTTTAATACTCGCATAATGGATGAACAATTACACAAAAATCAGTTAAAATTGAAACAAGTACAAGTAATCATGTAGGATTTGGCGGGTTTGACGTATACAATGCCTTTTTGTGCGCATAAGATGCTAGGGCAAATAGTTACAAGTTACCAAAAAGACGACGCCTGGAATGCTCCGCAAGTAAAAGAGGTCATGGGGCACGCAGAGCTTTTCTCACGTAGAAACAGAGCAAGCAAGAAAATACGGCACGCAGCAGATTGCCAGGGTGATCATAAACTAATCCCGGCAGGGAAAGTGCATATTGTGTTGATGTGACAATTTTCACGACACACGTAAATATGTAAACTTTAACGAAAAATAGAAGGCATTTTGATGAGGAGAAACGTGCGCTGCCGCGCAATAATTTCCGACTTATAGCAAGCGAGAAATATAAGGCAGATAGTTAGAAAAATCAGAACACTTCTTTTCCTGTGCGTTTGCGTCTGGTTTACTTCATATACTACTGGTGCCAATTCATGAACATCTAATGTATTCTGATTTCTCCATGGCAAGTAAGTGAACATGTACAGCTTTTTATAAGTTATTTAAAGAAATCGCTCGGCAAGTATTAATTTCTTTCGCTGTCCTCATTTGTTTGTCTTGGATCAAAAGCTGTTATGAGGTCACAACGAGCTTCGTGTGTGCCGTAGTTGTCTACCGCCGGTGTTCCCAACTACTAACGCACGAAATCTGAAAAAATAAACTCAGTGTAGAAAAACACCCAGGACACAACAGACTTTGAACCCAGTTCCCCTGCGAGTCAGCCCAGTGTTCTACCACAGTACCAGGCCCATGTTTGAAACTCTATTGTAAACTCGTTTAGGCAGGCTTGATGTCGAGAAAGGAATCGTATTACGCTGAGTAATAAAAGGTTTTAGAACACCTAAGGAATAACCAGGCGTCACAAGATGCGAATAGCGTACTGGGTGGGTCGTTCAATGCTCCAACCGATTATAAAAGCTTGTTCTTGTTTACCTATTAGCTGTGGCACCTGCCCACTTCAGGCATGATTCATCGTCATCAAACACCGCATAAAAAATACTGCACAGAAATCCTTGCAAGTGTATAGTGGATACGACGCTTCTGCGAGGATTGACGCAGTTTGCCATAGTGAATGCCGGCCTACTACATAAAAAATGATTATTCATGGCCTATAGTCTGAAATCCACAAGTGTGCTTGTAGCCGTGACCATAGGTGTTTAAAAAATTCTGAAAGGCCGCTTTTCCAGCTTTCGCTTTTACTGTGCTGCACGTTTCACGCAGACGTGGTGATTTTGCTATGCTCACCCAGATCCATCAACAATGAAGTACCTTTCGGAACTTGTTTCGACAAAAACTCTAGGTAATCTACAAACTTTGCGATGTTCTGCTGCATTTTTGGCCTGCGTGAAGTGTAACTAAACACCATTTTGTTTGATATGCCTTATGCAACATGTAAAAGGACACTAGTACCTACTTTCGTTTTGAATTTTATCTAAAAATGAGCATTTTTACACTAAATTCTTTGTGAATGATTCAACTAATGTAGCGTATAGGAAAAGGCAAATGATGTAACACAGTGCTTCGCAGGCAAATTGAAAATCTCAACGTAAATGCTGAATTGCTGGTGCTGCCTTCAACAGAGAAGCTAATGAGTTCTATTTTGCATTTTCAGAGCTGCATTCGCAGACAGCAAAGGTGAGGTTATGATCTTTTTTATGATGCTTTGTACATGCATCAGTTAGCTATTTAATACTCGTGCTAAGTAAACATGCAACACTCAATATTTCTTCCCCTAGTATGAAGGCCTCTTCACATATTGTAATTTTAGAGTCATGTGGGGTTCACACGCAAAACATTTGAGGTTTCGCATTGTTAGTGGGGTTACGTGGTATTTATAAGTAATTTATTATGATGGGAATTGTTCAATGAAAAATATATTTATGACGAAGCGCTAAAACGGACAATGATCACCAAATATATATAAAAAGTTTAACATAAGGCTATAAGGATGTGGTTTTAATTTCGAAACACTAATAAACATGTTCCCTGGGCTGTTAGATGCCTGGCGCAATCAGTTACATTTATGGCACTGAGTGCACCTAGGGGAAAAGAGAAAAGTTCAATTTTATCTGGGTTTATTTAAAACATGACTATTTTCTTTTGTTTCCACAAGCGCGCTACTTATTGCTAAAATAGAATAAGTGAAGGCAATGCAAGAGAAGTGATTGAATTGCATATAAACATGACGTCAGAAAAGGGGAGTGGCATGAAGTTTATAACTAGGGTTAAAAACATCGAGGTTCACACGGTGCTTGTGAAGGCCACAGTAAAATCGTGTGACCAGCATAAATATATCTTCGAACGGCTAAAAACAACAATAATGTTTATACAGAAACAGTACATACTAAACAAACTTCCATTGGTGGATTTCACGCGAGGTAAATAATATCGACCAAAATTTTGTAAGCTCGTAGTTTTTGTGTGTAGTCAACTACAATAGGCACACCGGTGAAGGAAGATGAAGGCTAAAAAAAACAGAGGGCAGAAGGGGGGGAGAGAGAAGGTCAACCACAAGGGTCTTTCTTTCGCTATCGTAAGCATAGGGAATTTATGTATGTATGAACAGAATTTAGAAAGAAGTAGGGAGCATACCAAAAATTTTCGTTATATCAAGCGACAGCAAGTCGTTTCATGCAGGCAAGAAACAAACAAAAAAACTAAAGTTGGCTACTTCAGAGGTTGATTGTCTCCTGCTCAAAAGTTCAGTATGCTACAAGAGAACATTGGGAAAAGTAGTAGAGTATCAGCAAGTTCAATATTTATTTATTGTGATCTATGTTATAAAAGTATCGATGCTATAAAGGTAGAGAGCAGTTGTGATACTGGCTGAAGCACTGGCTGTAACACAGACCTTTTTAAGGCACATTGATCTAGCTTGATTTTCTGCCATGCATATATAGTAGATGAATATGGGCTCGATAAATTAAAAAAAAAGTGACATTTTTTTTTTTGCAAAAACTTAATTGATCAGGCCTAATGTACGCCGTTTTGCATTCCGTGATTAGGTTCTTTCACATACGAAATAATGAAGAATGAGAAAAATGCTGCAATATATAACCCAGGTGTCAAGAAATATGCACTTTAATGTTGAGTACATGCAGGTCAATCGCGCAATGTAAAAAACTATGTGGTGTGTGGCCCTGCATACTGATAAAAAAACGGTATTGGCACTGATTGCGACATGTTTTGGACCTTTCTTATGCGGGAGAAATACCGCCACGGTGGTCTAGGAGCTACGTAACTCGGCTGCTGACCCCTAGGTCGGGGTATGAAATCCCGGCCACAACGGCCGCATTTTCAATAGAGGCAGAAATGTTTGAATCCTGTATGGTTAGATTTAGGTGGACGTAAAAGAACCTAGGTGGTCAAATTTGCGTCGCTTTCCACTATGGCGTCTCTCATAATCATATGATAGTTTTGCGACGTTAACCCCAAAGAAATAAAAAAAACAAAGACCATCCGTAGCACGTTTGGGTTTCGCCAACGTTCGTTGTTTTGCAGATTTTCGTTGAATGGCTGCTTTAGAATCTTGCGGTAGATTTTTATATTTTTCACACTTACTCACTTTGAGTGTGGTAAGAATGATAAAGCATGCGTACGCTACATATTTCGCGGCTGGAGTAGACAATAATTTTGATTGTGCTTCGCGTCATAAAATTGACAATAGAGGCATATGTCATCGGCAATGCGGTAGAGTGAGTTACCTATGACGTAGGCTGGCAAAGGCAGCACTTTATACAGCGATTTAGTGAGTTCTTGATTTTATATGTGTGGTTTAACATCTGTAAACCACCATATCACTATGAGAGACGCCGTGGTGGAAGTTCCGGAAATTTCTGCCACCTGGAGTTCTTTAACATGCACCCAAATCAGCGTAATACTGGCCATACTATTGTCCCCTTACTTTCAGACAGAGCCATTTTGTACGACCAGAAAGAGCTAGAATCAAATGCATATTCAAAGTTTAATAATTTACGATTCGGAATGTCTTCTAGAGCTTGATAGTTGATGAAGTGAGAAAATTTTCGAGCTGACTAAGCAATAAGTGCCAGAAAAATAAGTTAACATAACCTCTGTCTGCATAGTAACCTCCCAATATTTGAATAAGTATAACCATACCAACAAAGTCTAAGGGCACCTATAATTACCCCGCAGTTGAAACGCAATCTCAGTAAACTTGGTACGGCTTGTAAGTGAGAAAAAAACTGAACCGAACCTGTTGCTTTTCTGCAAAATTTTTAATTGTCATATGTATACCTTTTTTGATATGATTGCTAATCATCGTTTGAAGATAATTGAAGTGTCTTCGATTCTCTCTACGCTAATTCTCTCTACGCGGGTCTCTCAACGCAAATGCGAAATATTTACTTTAAAAAAGAGTTACAGATTTGTTGAGTCGTGATTCTCCAGAAATGTAATTACATAATCGCTTTCGAAGTATAGGAGCTGACATTTTTTACACTGATACTTCTGATTGTAAAGTGAGATTGTAAAATGGGAACTGTGTACTAAAATGTTTTCGTGTTTTCACTGTGCTCCCTTTCTCACGCCACACAGCTCTTTCAGATGACGATGCTAACGAATACCGTCTCTGGGGCAAGTTTCCATGGGAGCGCCCCGGAAACCCACCTCCTTTTGTTCCACCTGCCGACGTGATGCCGTTCTCACAGATTGGTCGCTCGTGGAGTCAGGACGAGAATTCTGGAAGGCCTGAGAGGCCACTGACGTACGTGTCAATTTTAAGTTACACCCCAAGAGCATTTAGTGTCATCTTTATAATTGCAACTGTGACGATGCTATAAAACATGCTTGATAAAATGTGTCAAAATATGTATGCTGTGGGGACCTTCAAACGGCAGAATGTTAGTACAACGTGGAAGTTATGGCCGAAATCTGCATGTGAGAATTGGCAAAATTTTTATTGCTGTATATCTGCAGTACTGCACAATATAAGCTGACAGGTGTATTGATTGCCTTGTTGAATAAGGTAGGAGTATGCAAGAATAGTTTTGGCAAATTATTCTTCATTGGGCAATCATGTTCCTTGCAGCACATGCCTCTTTCAATTCAATATAATTTATTAGGTACAGGCTTGCGACAGGGGCTTAGGCAGAAGATATTTTCTCGATGGGCGGGGGGGGGTGGCACCTACTTGATTTGAAGTGGTGCCGAGGAGGCGAATAGTCATCTTGGCCGACATACCCTACGGCGAAAGAAATTTCTAAGGATAGCACGAGACTGGTGTGTCACGCACTGGCTACGCCACTGCAGAACTTGCCATGAATACGCTAATGGGGCGTTTCAAGTGGCGAATAGAATTAAAATATTGCAATAATTCAAAGCCAACTAGTGAGAACTTCCACTTTTCTACCATAGAACGTGTATAGGAGCAAGCATAGTACGACACGAGGAAACGAAATAGTGAGTGTGAGCAAGAAAAAGATAAAGTAACAGATCACGCGCCCCAATGCATTGATATAATTTCATGCTCAAATTTCATCTCATGCACTAATAAAAATGCAATTGTATCACGACAGTACAACCTGAGCCGTTATTTCTGAATGCCTAACCTATAACTCTGCGTGGTGAATGAGTACAGGTACGCTAATTTCACTTTTACGGGCAGCAAACAACCAGAAACCACCGACTCATTGTATTAACATTGAAGTAATTAAAGAACGCAAAAATACTGTCATTAAAAACAATCTCTTGTAATTAAAAATAGTCAAGAGTCACATAAAGATAGCAACAGTTAAGATAAAATGGGTGATGAGAACCACATCATACACTATTTTATAATGAAGGCTTGCCACCACCGCGACAATTTTCGGGTTGTTACTGCTCTGTTCGGAATGCACAAATCACCTATTGTGGCACAAGATGCTATCGTACCAAGTCGTAAGTGCTCCTGAAGCCTGAAATCTTGCAAGAAGTTTTGAAAGTTTTACGAATGAGAAAAATCGCAGTGACTAATGTAGAATGTTCTGTAAGCGTCTTTTAAACTATTCAAGCATTCAGTGCACAGTGTAATTGAGATCTTTTCATTTAAAGACTGCGTTGCTGTTCATTTCAACAATCAGCTATTTAAATAGTATTGTTAGATGTTCCAACTGCAAAAAGTGCCAAGTTTTGCAAAAAGCACCTCTTTGTCAACAATTTTCGATTGTAATCCGATTCCCACTGACTTCGTTGTTACACCCGGACAGGCAGAAAGTATGGACTCGTTATTTATTTAGAAAGTGTAGTTACTTTTGAATATGTAAAGTGTGGCGTCAGTGTTTGCACAATGAAACAAAAATTTTTGTCGAAGAGGTTTTTGGACAGTGTCTTCGGCAGTGGTACATGACGTTGTCAAACATACGATTAAAATCTACGCAGCTCAGAAGTTTCTAGGCTCAACGCAAATCATGTTCGAAAATGTTTTTTTTTTTTTTTGGTGTCATCCATTGGCAGATTCGGAGCAGTTCCAGAAATACTTTATACTGCTCCGTGCGGAGCAAGTCTATTTCATTGGAGCATTGATAGTGCTCCCTATATGTTCCATCTGTGGATATGGAGCAGCTCCGTCGCGCGATGCATTCTACGGAGCAACTTTTCTATACTCTGCAAAAATCGGCAGATTCGACCAGAAGTCGCAAGCGCCTCATGGCTTGAAATTTTAAATTTTCCCAAATATACACGAGATGGAACTCTGGCGCTTGTTTCAATGGGAGCTTCAACGCACGGTACTTCAGCGAGCATGGGAATGATGGGCAGTACACAGATTTGTCTAATCTTCGTACTTCTGGTGGCGTGTGGTCTTGTGGCTTGGAACTGTTTTTTCACGAAACAAAAGTCAGCAAATGTTCAGTGGTTTTGCTTTAGCAACTTATTCTTTTAGGCTTACCTTGTCAAACACGGTCACGAAGTTCAAAAGCGTTCATGGTTTCCTTCAAAACAAAAGCGAAACACAGCAATAAGCGAAGCCACAAGTACGATTCACTACCCGCAAGCACGAAGATTAGGCAAATCTGTGTACTGCCCAATATTCCCATGGGTTGCTATTCTGGACATTGTCGAATTCCGGCGTGTTGTCAGATTCCGGCATTGATCGATGCTAATTGGCCAAGTGAGCTGCTACGACATCTCTGATTGGCCTAAAATGCCGCCATATCGAAATCTAACAATATGGCGGGATTCGACAATTTCCAGAATAGCACCCATGGTCGCTGAATTATCGCAGCTCCACAGTGCCCTCCAGTTAATTTTAGGAAACTCTATGCTTGAAACGGTGCCAATTTGAGGCGGGCCAATGGACGCCGGTCACGTCGGTTGCGCCTCACGTCAGAGCTCATGTTTTGCTAGCGTAGTGTCGCGGCGTGCAGCGTGCCCACATATGCAAAAAGAGAGGCGCGTGCATCGCTTTCCATTCTGACCCTGCTATTTGCTCCAGAGGGAGCGCGTGTTTTCCATTGGTAGATTCCCGTCATTTGCTCTCGACCAGAGTGGAGTGCTGTTGCGCGAAGTCCGTCGGCCACTCCGCATCCGCCAAGGGATGACACCGTTTGGGGAAAAAGTGCTTGTAAATAAATCAATACGGAAACGTTTAGTCTTCAGCTTATAAGTTATGTCGCATGCATATACTTTCAGTGAGTTTTAATTCCTTTATTCTGCTTGCTTTTTGTCTCATTTTAGCAAGTTCCTGTCGGAAAAGAAAGGTAATTATCTTTCTTTTTTTATTTCGCCACTTTTGTCAGCGCAAGTCGCTACTTCTGCTCTCAAACGATGGCGTAGTATCGAAACAAAAGCACAGCAGAGGCAACTTTGATAACATCATTTTCCCATTGCATATCATGCACGAACTGGCAATTCGTCGCAGTTCACTTACAATCCGTAAATAAACGATGCCACGGCACATGCTCCCTTCACTTACGTGAAAGTGGCTTAATGACTTCTGGTCTCGGAGGCCTTCGTTTTAGCAATGCCAGTTCTCCTGGCCCCTACTAAACGCAACCACAACGCCAGGGGGCAGCACAGAAACATGAAAAAGGTGCAATAAATATATAAACCTTTTACTGTTGTCTACGTCGCATGTCTCTACAGCTAAGCGATGTTTAAATAATTTCTTAGCCAACGATGAAACGACTCAATTGTTGCACTAAAAACTCATCGTTAGCTTCCACGATAGCGAAACCTTCAGAATGAAGAAATGTCTAGAAGAAAAATACATCAGCTAACTGTGAAAGTGTGTAAGAATCTGCCGTAATCACTTCCTGCTTCAACCTATCGGCCTGTCGCGTCAGGCTGTAGACGTCATAAAAGAGTCGCACCATGACACTGACGATAATGGGGATGGTTTTGTCACGTGCTGTCGTGCCGACGCAATCACGAGGATGAAGTTGATGTTGTCGAGCACGCGGGCCATCGAATAAAGCACTTCATTTTGGTTACGCATGTGCAAGCATCGTTCTTTCTCTACGTTTTCGCGACAGTTGATGGATTCGCTTTGCAGCAACACATAATCGAAGGTAAACAGTTCTGATAAAAAATGCTGACGCATTTGGGACCTTTGATCTTGTCCAGCACCACTTTTTCAGCAGTTTATTGTATACTGAACAGCACAGGAACATGTGCATGATAAAGCTAAATCAGACAGTTTCTTTAGGACATCCGACGTTGAGAGGGGCGTTGTCACAGATCATCATATAGCCAGCTTGCCACACCACGTATAACAGGCATGTATAGCAGATGGAAATTTTGTTGGGCTTCTTCGTAACCTATATAATAAAAATAACTTTTTGCAGTATTATTATGAGAGACCATAGTGAAAGGTTGTGGAAATTGCGACCTCCTGGCGTTCTCTAGAGTGCACATATATGTAAGCACACGGCTCGCCGCTATTATCTATACAAATATTCATTACACTGAACAAAATATTGCTATAACGGCTGTTCCTATAGCAATCTATGCTTTTCCATATCGTGGTGTCACCTGCACTGCTTGCCAGATTCTTCTTTGTTTACATTACTTTTAGCTAACGTCTTCTGAATGTCTTCTTTTGAGACTTTGCAGAAGCCGACCTAACCGAATAAAACAAGAAACCAAAATTATATGAGTGCAATGTAATGAAGGCGGTTGAAAAGGCAAATAGTACTTTTTGTATGCGCTGTGGGAGTCAGCATTAACGATATATTTGTTAGTGTTTGCAGAACCACACAGAGCGAAAATGACGACGTAAGTTATAAAAGTAGACAAAAAAGTAGCTTTGTTTTCATTGCAACAAGGCCAATCCTACGGCACTGTGCAAGGTAACGGCGTAACTTCTGCCTGGTAAATAAGGATATTCACGTCTTACCAACTTCAGGTCGACATACCCTGAATGGCACTTCGACTAAAAAGATGACCGAAACGAACAATCTAGCTCATTCATAATGAAAGATGCTCAGATATTACAATTGGATATGTGCCCCCTTGATATTACGTCTTTTGTTTGACTGTGCACTTTTACATTTCCTTAACAGAGGAGCATTTGGACCAGAAATCCACGCAGGATATTAACGAAGTACGCCAGAAGTTGGTTCCCTTGTTTGCACCAACACAGCGGAAACTCACAAGGGTGGCCCGCTTCATTTCAAACGACAAGCCCTGGGAAAAACCGTGGAACCCGCCCCCCTTTCTTCCGGACCGCTATCCTCCTCTGCAGTAAGTGATCCACCTCGGTCACGCACACACATTCCATAGGAGACAACGGACGATCTCACCTTACAGCGATGGAAGGCGATCAACAGCTTCGTTATGCTGATGTTTCGGGCCTGTGTGATACAACGGCTCACCAACACACGAGCCCTGCCTCGCCACTCACGAGGAAACATTCAAAACAAAAATAAATGTACATATTCGATTTCGTCAAAACTATTGTGATATATGTTACCCTTTGTAATGCTTGGATAAAATTATTACGCTAGTTCGCGCTGAAATGTTTACCGTGAACACAACCACCTGGACATTGGCAGAGTGCTCGATTGCTCAGGTTGCTGCAAGGTCAGTGAAGAATAATAAAGCGCTTAGGACGGGACGAGATGAAGACACGTATCAGCACCATGTCCGCATCTTCATCTGCTTCCGCCTGGTCAAGTCTAAAAAACCAATCGCTGAGGTAAAATATTGTGACATGACAGACGCATACTCAACGTGCTCTTTCACAACCTATTATTGGGGCGTTCTCGGCTACCATGATGGTAGCCTCCAGTGATTTTAGATTTACCAGTGCCTGTTTTCTATATGTATGCAGAGCAGCAGAAGAGTCGAATTTCTTGTAGTAAATAAGATTTTCATTGGTGGTTTAGGTGATCGTCCGTAGCCACGCTAGAATCTCTGTTCGCGTGCGTTCCTAAAATAAACGTAGCTTTATCCTGGGCGTTATGATTAAACTCTTTTGGAGCTGCAAAAAAGAAATCATGGCAAAAGAAGCGTTGACAAACCACGTAGTATACGCACAGTGAGAAAAAGATAAAGAGGGCGGAGGAACTTAGCTTCACGTGCCTCTCCAATAGGCGAATCTTTCGATCCTGAGACTTCACGATGAAATAACCGTTAGAACATTTGATTAGACCTTTATGCTAGGTTAATCGGTGGTTAGGTCGCACATCCATTACCACTGCATATGGCATGCCTTAATCAATACGTATCTTCATTCTTGAGCTGGTGTAAAGCTGCGCATTCATCGAATCTTCGCGTGCACTCATCGACTCGACCATTCACTCAAACTTATCTTTGAGGGCTGTTTTTCAATTAGGAAATTACCCCTCAATTAAAACACTCCTTCACTGGAGGAAACATTGAGCACTTTTCCTGAGATAGCCAAGACAGTGTGGAAGCTGCTTTGAATCTATCTTTGACTTAAGTTTTTTCGTCAGCATGCGTCCATGGGAAGCTCGTCTTGTTTCGTCGACATTTCACGACTAATAACTTCGGCCGCAGCATTACTTTGAACAGTGAAGTTGTGCGACGTGTTCCTGCCGGTGTCGTGATGAAATGTATTCTGTGAATGAGCCAATTGGTTAGGTGCTTCCGTTAGTAGCTGGTTGTCGTCGTTAGATTACTTCCCGACAGTCTTGCCACAGACGCCACTGCTGTCACACGTGGGTCGCTGAAGCTCATACGTCCCATCAGCTAAAGCTTGGTGTGAATGAAAAAGAGAGGCAAATAGAAAAAAATAAGGAGAAAGGCGGGGAGGTTGACCAAGGCTGACCCCCGGTAAGCTGCCCTGCACTGGGAAGGAGAGAGGGGGAAGGAAAGTGAAACGTGAAACTTTTACGCGTAATGCATTGACCTAATCGGTGACTTTTCTTTGTTATCCTTTACAAGTTTAGTGTGAAATACTTTGCTAACAACCTCAATAAAAGCGTAAGATCAAATGTCTGATGCACTGCAATCATCGTACACTTGAGAAATTTTTCCATGGTAAATCTTAGCTACCCACCGAACGAAAATACAGCAAATCATACCTTCGCAGGGCGACCTTCTGTATCAAGAGAAGGTACGTTATCCTGCCTTTTTTCAACACGAAGGTGTTTTAGACGGGAACCACGAAGACTTCACTGTCGTATTGTCGTGTCAAATATGACATTGTTACATTGCACTATGTCCTTTTTTATAAAAAAAATCACAGCATATCCGCAGAGTGCTTTAGGACGAGTGGGGCACAGCATTCATCAATCCGTCTGCACTGCCATCCGTCCATTCATTTTTGCTTCCAACCGTCCATTCATTCATGCATTCGTCCGTGCATCTATTCATCCATACGTCCATCCGTCTGTTCCTGCGTGCGTCCACCTATTCGTCTGTGCATCTATCTGTCTCTCCGTCTGTGCGTCTCTTCATTCGTTCGTCTGTCTAGTGAGCGCTCCAAGTACCGCCATCTCGCATTTTCTCCATATATTCCTCATATGGAAGTACTGCATCCAGCAGACATTCCAAGGACTAAACGAGAAGTGGCACGGCCGGAATAGAGGAGTGGCACGCGTGCACTTTCTTAGGGCCTCAGCTTCGTGCCTAGTTTCCACCTTTTGCCACCTCTAGTTCATGGAACTGCCGCTCAACACTCGCTAAACCTTACTAAAACAAAGGACGTTACGCCAGGCGAGTTCATAGTGGCAACCAGATAGTTCTCAAAGTGCGTCCTTTTTTAGTAAGCGTCAAATTCAAGGGAAACTTTATTACAGATCAAGTCACTGAGGTTATTTATTCAGAAACAACTATCTTTTTATTCATCATTAACGTGCGTGGGTTTCCTGCTCAATTCAAATGAGGGCATGCGTGCCGCTCTCTAGTCCAGCTGTGGAGGTGGCTACGTACCACTACGATGCACTACAACTACTACAATGACAACGACGACGACTAATACTGCATACATCGCGGACCCACGACTCACGGGTTAAGGTACTTCGCCCCTAAAAAACAAGCGAACGCGTGGTTCGCGCTTTGCGGCGCCTTCCAGCCGTACCATCAACCAAGATAAGAAAGCCCGTCATTTCACGGCGTCATCTATTAGCCAATAAATTAAAAAGCTATGGTCATTTGACAAGAAATGCTAGATTACTCTCGCACTCCGGTCTTGCAACGGGCAATGCCACTAAAACGGGTGCGCTTACCTCATCTGTCCGTTTATGGTGTTCTAGGAAACCGAAGCATAGAGTTACTGTATATGCTATCTCTAAGTATGCTACCTAAAAGTAGCATATACAGTAACTCCACCATGGCAGAGCACAGACCACGTTTTCACGTGTTGCCGCCATAAAAAGGAATGTGTAAACAGATAGGAAAAAATTAAGATAAGTGAAGAAAATGTTAGGTGAACTTGAAAGACCCGAGAACGAAACCCACGACATCACGGTCCATCGCGACAGAAACCGGGTACCTAATTGACTACAATATTGGTGCATTTGCGAACAGTCCTTCACACGCGCCTTATATATCTCACGTTCTTCGCTCTATAGCTGCGTACTTCCTTTGCCTATGGTCCCTAGATATTAGGAACCTTACGCTTGTCAGGGTGGTGTCACAGACTAAAACTGGAGTAGAGAAAAACTTTGTTTCGGCACCTAATGGCACTAACATCAGAAATGAAGGCTGCTTTAGACCCACCACTACGGCACCTCAATGGCAGCATCCGTATGAATGCTGGCGTCAGTGCACCCTGCCAACGCTACCTCGATGACATTGGCCCTACTCGAAACACAGTTTAACTAACATTACTAGAATAAACTCAGTTCGAAAGCCAAGTGAGTACTCAGAGTAAAATGTATTTTTTAAGTTAGTGTGAGATATCTCTCATTTTCTTCTCGTGCTATTGTTGCAGTAGTGCACCACATAAAACAAATTACCTTCAGCCACCACGCTTGCTGCGTTCACATCATGTTATTCTGTTGACCAACTTGACCTGAGACAATGCCAGCACAAAGAAATGGTGCAGACTTAACTGAACAAACAGTCCAGTCGTAGATAAAGTGTGTCGTAGCTAGAATATGCGCCACGTTTAGTAAGGTACCTTCAGGTGCCAAGCCTGCTGCGTTTACATGACGATTATCTGGTGGAAGTAACACTGTGAGCACAAGCATAACTTCCGTTTAAACGTTGACGTGAGAAAATGATAGAGGCTGAACTAATGATTAAATTTATTGAGGTTTAACCTCTGTACAATGTGATATGACTTATAGCGTGGCCTCTGAGACGGCTGGCGCATGGAGGATTTATCTCCGGCAATGTCAATCGCACGGAGAGAGCGTGTTTTCGGATGTGGGCATGGCTAACTTGTTTCTCCACACCGCGGCGCTACTTCGTATAGTCAAAAAGGCTGTCGTGCTGTTGGCGCATCTTGGATGTGGCGAGAAAAAAAAACGGTTTCACGCTTTTATATAACTTTCTGCTCATTTGGGCATGTCGGGCTAAGGTGTACGAGAGGTAAAGGAGATGCTTGGTTTTAAATATTTTCAAATGAGCTATTATGGCTGTAGATAAACGCCACCCATGTTAGATCGCCTATGATTGCGACGCCTCTGCAAGAGGTCTGGATGTGCTAGAAACTTACTGTGCTTCGAAGTTTGCAGGTTACAAGTGGTTGGAGGGCACTGGCGACAAAAAAACAAAGGGACAGCCCGATCACCAAGCGATATCAGAAGAGCTCCGCGTTCTTCGCTCACATGTTGCACTCAACAAAAGGGCTTTTTCCTCTTTTCATGGAACTTGCGCTGTTCATTGTAACACCGCTTTAAGAATCTTCCCATCAAGTCGCAGAAGCAGGATAGATGTAGGAGGGTGCGGACAGCCACCATGCATCCAGACTATGTCTAGACTGAACGTCGCCGGTTCAGCAACGACCATGCGATGATTACAGGCACGTTTTGGTCACTTATGGTCGCTCTTTCACACTGAGAATTTACAGTGTTCAGCGACTACGTTGGGAAATGTTTGAACGAGCATCGAAGTGTTTTGCTTGTTCGAGAAGTACACAATACGCATTCAGAGTTTGATGTACCTGGTATGAAGCAGTGTGGCGTTACATCGTGGTGACAATTTTCAGTTTTTTTTCTTTAGTGTGTTTAGAAAAAATGTTTAACGATTTTAAGTACTTGGTACTCAACTACGAGAGAGCAGTAAGCCGTCCCTTGCTGACACTCTAGCGTCCAGTGCCAATGGCAAACTCCTGTTACAAATAAAGGAAGAAGGAGCGGCGGGCACGAGCCGCGGGCGCTGGCCTACTCAGTTGTTCCGTTTACCGTGGATGTAGCCAAATGATCGGGTCCGGGTCTCTCTCTTGATTTCTCACGCTTTGTTCTGGTGTGGAAACAGAGAACAAAGCAGGGACCTTTGTTTGTAGCATCTACCTCGGCGAATACTTAAAGTTTTTATTA